GGGCTGGATTCAAACCCACCACCTTAGGTGCATGTGGCTGGCACCTCAGCCACCTGAGCCACAGGCACCGAGCCTGCCTACCTCTTTTCAAAGAACAAGTTTGTGGAGAACAAGTCCAGAGGACCCCTTATAGTGACCCCAGTTTCTGTAGCTTCAGGTCATGTCTGGAGCTTGAATGTGGACTCCATCAGGAGCTCCCCACTTTTTTCCCCCAGATGGTCCAGGAACTCGGAGAAGGAGACTGAGCACATAGCCTGAGCTGTGTTTTGAAGGTTGAGGCGTAGTTCACCAGACTGGGGAGGAGGCGAGATGATCAACAGCCTGGAGGCTGGAAAATGGGGTGGACAGGCTGGGTTGGCTCCGGGGATCAAGGGCAATCCACCACTTCACCTGGCTGCTAGGGGGCAGGACCTGAGGAGCAGGCAGTGAGAGGCCCAAGGGGTTGAAAACTGTCTTCCTCCTGACCCTGCCTGGTCCCTCCCCAGCCAGTCCAGGAAGGTGGAGAAAGGCTGTGAGTTCCTGCAGATCTCTGTCTCCATCGTAGCTCTTGGGACCTGTGCGCAATGGAACCTCTGTGCCGCTGTCTGAAACGAGTGTTTGTATGGAGGGAAATGGAGTCCCCTTTAGCAGCCCTCTTCCCCACCCATCCCATGCTGAGGATCAGCTTCTGGAGGCTCCGCCCCAGCCAAGCGGGGCCAAAGCCAGGAGAAAGGAAGGAGCTTAATACAAATATAAATACCTTTAATGAAAAGCCTGCTCTGCAGAGCCCGGACAATGCCTCTGGTGGAGGGCTGGAGGCACTGGCGCTGCCGTCCCACTGGACTGGCTAGGCCAGAGGCCCCAGGAGGCAGGCCAGCACCAGAGCAGCCGCCAGCAGCAGGGGCGCGGGGGCAGGGACCGGTGCAGACGCTGTCCCGCGCAAAGTCTCCTGGTTTGTCTCCGGGCCTGCGCCACGCTCTCTGACTCGCACGGGGGCGCCGCACAGAGCGTGCAAGTTATGCGGGTGTGGGGCCCGGCGAGCTTCTCGCTGTAGTGACTCCCACACAGCTGCCGCCTCCTCTGGGCAGCCGGACAGGACCCGCCAGGCGCAGGCATGGAAGTCATTCCAAGACCTGTTAAGAGAGCGGGATTAGGTGGGGGTGCGAGGAGATTTGGGACCAGAAAGGAAGAGGTTCAGGCCCCAAGGTGGCGTGGATTGGGCTGCTTGCTGCCTTGCACCGCATGCACCAGTACCTGCAGATGGTTTCCAGCTCGCCTCCGCTGCCCATGCCGTCCCCCAAGCGGATGAGACACCCAGCGAAGCCCTGGTATATGGTGTCGCATAGGTTTGGGCTTGCTGTAGCTGCTGTCAGGGGAGGTATAAGGACTAGGGAGTTGGGGGAAGAGTGGTTGATAGGATGAGTCGTCCCTCCCCCACCTACCCCGACTTGTTTACCTGGGAATGCTCTGGGGACGTGACTCAGCTGAGAAGGATGCCCCAGGGAACTGAGAGGTATGTCTGGGGGATTGCCTATCTCCACCCTCTTCAAGGCAGGACCTGGGATGGGATTTGTACGAGGAGAGAGGACATGGTGTCCCACGGGGTCAGCTCTACCTTTGAGCTTCTGGGACCCCAGGTGGTGTGAGGATGGTCCATGTGAAGGAGGCAGGACCACAAAGAGCAGGTGCAGTCTCTGCACAAGCCTGAACAAGCCTTACCTGGCCCTCCCACCTCATCCCCAAAGATAGGTATTATTTTGGATAAGACAAGGCAGAATAGAGAGGGACTGGGATCCAGGGCAGACCCTCACAGAGGACCTCAGGGACCCTACAGCTGGTCTGGGACTCCAGCCATTGGCCATGGCTCCCTTTACCAGAAGGGCTGCTGAATTTTGAAGTTCTTCCCTGCATAACAGGGAGTCGGTTTGTGCCTCTCACTTTCCTTCCTAAAGCCTCCAGCACACCTTCCTGCAGCCCTTACAACTCTTCCAGGAAGACTGTACCCCCAACCCCCATACTCAGCCTAGCCAGGCCGGGGGAGGAAGTGCGGCCCAGACCAGGTCTAGACACTCGCACTCACCAAGTGGCAGCAACAGCAATAGTCTTAGGGTACGGGGCGGCCGCAGGCAGCAGCGGTAGTAGCAGCGCATCTTCCCTGGCTTGGGAGCCTAGTGCGGGAGCTAGCTGCTCGCAGCGCAGCCTCTAGGCCCAGCCCCCGGAGGAAAGGGCAGTGATTGGATGGAAGCCGGGGGCGGGCCTCCGAAGCCAGCCAGTGGCCCCACCTCTGGCACCCAGATCGACTCAAAAGTGAGAAGCCATCACCAATGCGCAGGGGTACAGGCTGGTGCTAAGCAGGCCCCAGAGTCAGGGAGCACGACCTGTAAAGGCTGGTAGCAGATGAGTGCCCAGACAAGAATAGCTATACACCAAAGACAAACCAAAAGCACACACGTACTCCATTTTATTCCAAAAGCATTTAATTGAATTTCTCAATGTTTTTCAAAAACAAAAAGATCCAAATTGGAGGTAAAAAGGAACATGGAAAATTCAACTCAAGTGGTGTCATGATCTCCGGGTCATGCGGCAGGCATGGCAGAACCCAAGAAGGCACAATACCTGCCCTGGGCCCAGCCTAAACCTCCTGGCTACCACAACCTGTAGACCACGGCCAGTATTCCTTGCCCCCCAACCCCCAAACATCCCAGAGGTGAGGGCCTGAGCAGATAAAGGACAGACACAATTCTGCCTTGACCTAGGCCTGTCTGCTGTCCTTCAGTGCCACTTCATCCCTAGGCAAGACAGGCTTAGCAGCTAAGGGAGGCTAGGGGTCACAAGGCCATGTAGCATGAGGCTAAGACGCCGGGCTGCTTTGCCAAGTGAGTTGTGTGGTTCAGCCTGCAGGAACTGAAAGAGCTTCTGGCGCACTTGGGCCATGACAGAGCCCATGTGGTCCCGAGTGATGGGATCACTGTGGTCCAGGTGCATCACCGCCTCTTCCAGGTAGCTGGGGATTGAGGAAAAGGACAGGCTACAGGTGGGCGCACCAGCAGATGGGAGCGCCCCCTGGTGGCACTGAGATTCAGAGGGATCGGTGACAAAGGAGGCCTCCAAGCCTCAGCCTGGTGAAGGCAGAGATTGGTGGAAAAAGTAGAAAGGGGAGTCTAGTAGAAGTGGGAATACCCTTAGAACCGCTCCCTCCTCACCCCCCTACCCCACAGCTTATCTCCTAGTCCCTGCCTGCCCCCACTCACCTGAGCTTGAGGTCAGTTCGAGTGCCCAGGTCAGATGCCAGCTGCTGGATAAGGGAAAGGAGCACAGGCTGGGAGAGAGGGCAGGGTGGCTGCCCAAAAACCTGGGCTGGGTCCACAGTTTCACATACATACAGCACCAGGTTCAGGTCAGCAGCTGTCAGTGCCTGGGGGAGAACAGGGCAGCAGTGTTTACCACTAGTATTAGTATGGAATATTTGCTTGTTTGCACTGTGTGGCCTGGGGGAGGATGACCAGAGTGGGGTAGTGAGAGCTCCAGAAGGGCCCAGAGAGCACTGTCGGGCTGTATTGTACCCCAGAAGATCAAGGTTTCCTGAGAAGAGTAGTCATGGAGCTGGGTTGAGTTGGGAAGAAAAAGGTCTAGAAAGAGGGAGAAACAGAGGAAATGGCCTGGAGGTCAAAGGACCCCAAGAACAGTCCACTGGGGCTGGAAGGCCCAGAGCCTGGTGAGTAGAGTGGAATGTATAGTGCATAGGCCTTGTCTAGAAACACCTGACCCTTACCAGGGCCATGCACCTATTATACCTGCTGGAAGGCCTGATTGAGGTGGCCCTGCTGTAGCAGCTGCAAAATATGGGCTTGCTGGGCCTGGCAGTCAAGGTGAGCAGAAGGAACAGGTGTGCCAGCAGCTGAGCGCATGGCCTGCATGATGCTGGAGGTGACAGCAGCCTGCTGCTCCTTAAGCGCCACACTTACTTCACCTTTAACAATGCGCTGTACCTGTGCTAAAATTGACTCCTGTAGGCTGCAAAAAAAAGTGAGGCAGATGAAGTAGACAGGGAGCACCACTTGGCCCCTCCCAGACCGCCACCTTGCCCAATACCCTGCCTACTTACCTGCCCACAGCCATGTGCAACTGATGCTGCACCTCAGCCCGAACACTGCTAGACACAGTGGCTGCCATCTGCTCAGTGGCACTCTGCAATGTGCCGACCAGGCCCCGCAGCTGGGCCAGCACAGGTTCCCTTGCCTCCTGTTCCCGTGCCTTCCGACTCTTCATGTGACTTTCTAGCTGCTGTAAGTCTAAGAAGTGACCACAGGGACCATAAGAGGGATGGTAGGAGAAAAGAGAGCAGCCCCTCCCACTCTGGGTTATAAGACCACACTCATGGGTGGCACCTGTGGCTCAAAGGAATAGGGTGCCAGCCCCATGTGCCCATCTCCTATGTCAAAGGAGGTGGCGGGTTCAAACCCAGCCCCGGCCAAAAACTGCAAAAAAACCCCCCCAAAACAAAAAACCACACTCACACTCCTGTGTGCCCAACCGGAAGCTATCATTGATTTGCTGGAACATGGCCTGGCAGCTCTTCTCAAAGGCTGGCAGCACCACACTCTGGAAGGCCTCACGGTAGGCAGCCTGCATTGGCCCCTGTAACGTATCTGCAGCTGCTCGGGCAATGGTATCAGTCAAGTTCTGGGGTAGAAAGAGGGGCTGAGTTGAAAGCCTGAACCCAACCTGGCCTGACTAGGACCACCAACCACCCTGCTCCCCTATCTTGGGCCCAACAGCACCTTGGACTTGAGCAGCTTTGAGATATTCTCTTTCATGCTGCCTTCCACAGCTGTGAGCTTGGTGGCCACTGAGTTACTCAGTTGGCCTGCCACAGGCTCCAGACTCCTGGAGACACCTGGGGCAGGGGAGGAGAAAATGGAGCCAGGATAGAAAGTTTGACAGGTGCCCCCACTCCCACCTGGCCCACCCAAAGGAAGTCTCCGTGCAAACCTCAAAAACTCACTTGGGAGAACTGTCTTCTTGATCTCATCCCTTATGCTGCGCTCTAGCCGCCCAGCTACAGCTGAAGACAGTGCCTGTGATAGCTGCTGTGTCAGCTGCTCCTGCAGCTGCCCACCCCGCTGTTGCCCCTCTGCCAGTGCCCGCTCTAGTCGCCGCTCTATGCTGTAGCTAAGGAACAGGACTGAAGCAGGTCTATACCCTTTCCCAGGCCAGGAATACTTCCCCTAGAAAGTGCTACCACCCTTAAGGATACGTTCCTGCTCATGTCGGGTCTCAAGGGCTCGTTCTACGTGGCCCATGACAGTGCTCTGTAGGCCTTCAAGCTGGGTACACAGACGCTGCAGCAGCTCCTCTTGGCTATGCCGTAGCTCTGCCAGCTCTCTTTGCTGTTGCCAAATTAATGCTGGCCAGTCCTCAGGTGGCTCTGCCACCTGCCAATAGCATTGTCAGTCACATTTTGTCTATCTTACCCATTTCCATACACCAGACTAGGGAATGACCCAGAGCCCTTCCCCACTCTCAGAAGGTGGGGTCCTGTTAGTAGAAAGGGGGCTTGTTCACTTACCTGGTGCTCTGTGAGCCGGGATCCCATGGCTGAATCCCTGCCAAAGGCGAGAAGCACCTCAGGTCATGTCAGGCAGCCTACAGATCACCCTTCTCTCTCTTCCCAAGACCCTTCCATACCCATCATCCTTCTTGCTCTTCCTCTTGAGCTTGGGTGAGGATCGAGGGGATCCCTTGGTCTTCCAGTCCTTGGCAGGTAGCCGTGGAGTTGGAACTTTGGTGCCAAACCCTCCTGAAGCAGAGGCAAGACTGGCCACTTCATCATCATGGTCACTGTGGGAAGGAGAGGGAGGGGGCTGAGCATTTGTCCCCTTGTTGACACTCCCTTATGAGGAAAATGGTGTAGGGTGGCTCCCACCTTTGTTCAGCACTAGCATCCTGGCTGTCATGTTGCTGCAACAGGTGATAAGGTGGTCGGTGGAAGGCCAGGCTCTTGTGCTTTTCCTGAAGGCCATTCCTGGGGCTAGGGGGACCGGCCAACTCAGCAGTGGTTGATTCTATCTAAAGCTCCTCCCACCAGCACATTTTCCCCCCAACCCCAAGCTCCTCACCTCTCTGCCAGAGTGCTACAAGTCTCACGAGTAATGTCAGGTGCTGTAGGCCAAACCTGACTGTCAGAGGTTGTGGCCTCCTGGGTTAAGGCTGCCTCCAGGAGAGAGGGGGTACTATGCCGATCTCCATCCCCAGAGCTTCCATCCAGGCCCAGCTGGGGGCCAAGCTCAGGCCCTGGCCTGGGCCGGGGGGACAGCAGGTGTAGTGCTGAGGCAGCTGAGGCCATACTGTCTGGCTCAAGGCCCTCTGGTGCAGAGGACCCAAAGCCACGGGACAGGGCCTCAGATGCAATCTCAGGGATGTCCTGAGACAGGGCAGTGGAAGCTGAGGAGATAACATCAGGGGAACGGGTGCGGCTGGGGGAGGCCTGGGGTAGCCCCAGGGGCTCCACTTCTTGTAACTCCAGGGACAGTGCAGAGGCAGCAGTAGGCACCTGAGGTGGGCCAAAGATGGACGCTTAAGTGATGGGAGGTGAAGCAGAAGGGCACAGAGACAAGGCATTGGTACGTATTAGTAGTGACAAGAGACAAAACAATGGGAATGCAGGTCAAAAACAGGGTCACAGCACAGGAGAGGACATGGAGACAGGAAGGCTGATGAAATGTCCTCCTGCGAACATGGGGGCTGACATGACCTCAGAAGGAACAAGGACCATGTAAGGTATAGCAGGGGTAGCACCGGGGATATGTGAAGGGAGACTGCTGCCCACCTTTCCTACTGTTGCCCTCCTGCTAGGTGGCACCTCACATACCCATGCATGCATACACGCACCTGCCCTGGCCCCTTGGTAGTCAATTTGTCAGCTGGGCTGGGGAGCAGGCCAGGCAAGAGGCTGCGTGGGCTTGCCTGGAGGCTGCTGCTGCTGCTGCTCATTGTCAGACTGCCATCCAGCTGCAGCTTAGGACTCAAGCTCAGCTCCTCAGGTGGTCTGGTGGTGGGAAGTCTAATTTGTCAATAGCCAGAGCTGCGTATTATCTGGCACCAGCCCCTGCCATCCACCAACTCTGACCCTTACCTTACCTGGGCAAAG